AGTGTGAAGATACCAGCATAATAAAGATCGCTAGCATTAGCATGCTAACACAACAATGCAGCGCGAGTTGTTTTGGTTTCATGCTGGTGCTCAAGGGCGACATCTGCTGGATCAAAAAACTCACATATAAAGCCTTTAAACATTTGCATTGTAAGTGTTTTGGGGCTTAGTCGAGGTTTGGAGTTTGTTTGTAGCTTCTCATTTTAAAGCACATAAGATCCTCGCACCAGGCACAATGTTAATATGAGAATGTTTTGTTTGCAGTGCATTGTCTTTTCTCAAAATAGAACTGCTGTGTGAATTACTTTTTCACTGTTCCACATAAAGAGAGCGTGGATGTTTGCATTAGTTGTCTCACTTAAACTTTTCAATCAGACCACCAAGCCCGTTAAATTAAAAAAAACATCTTATCTATCGTCATCAATGTGCCCTCCTCCTCCTCCTCCTCCTCAGACTCGACCCTCCCGGCCAGGCCATCTCCACGGCAACCCAGGAGCTCCTGCGATTGGCCGAGGCCAACCCCAGCGGCATAGCGAGCCTGGACCCTGTGAACGACCTCCAGCTGAAGAGCGTGGACGTGGTGGAGGGCTCCATGAGGCGCCGAGTGCTGGAGGGGAGCCTCAAAGAGTTCAGCTGCATCCACTCGCCCACTTTTGCAGAGCAGGTGTGTGTGTGTGTGTGTGTGTGTGTGTGTTTTTAAATCCCTGATGCAGTTATTTATAGTCTGAGAAGAGGCCAGGCTTTATTACACTGTTTGCTAATAAATTCTTTTGTGCAGTGATTGCATATTTATGCGGCTAATTAACATCATGCCCGTACATAACACACTTCTGATGCCTCTCCTCGTTTGGCCCGTTTGTTCCAGCATCAGTTTCCTCTCAACCCCTCCATCATTCCTCCCTCTGGTTTCACTGTAATAACATCAAAGTCTTAACGCTACAAGATTTTTTGCGTGCGTGCTGCACATCCCGTCTCTCACTGGCAGCCTCGTTGAGAGGAGATAAGATGCGAGAATCTGGAGCCGGCTGTTTCTATAATTACACACATATAGGCTCCAGCTCATCACTGTCTCACAGGCGCAGCGTCTCACACACACACACACGTTCACACTCGCACACACTCTGATTACATTACCGGATAACAAGCTCTTGGTAGCAGTATCACTGTCTCCAGTCATCACTTCATTACACTTCATTTCTCTTAATGCTGCATTGTGGGTATTCTAAAATGAGTGTTAGCGTAGTGATGCTCTACACAGTAATTGGCCTCGCTGGTTTTATGTTACATGTTCACTTTACATGTTACAAGAGACTCCTCTGTACTATCAGTGTTCCATTTTTTTTTAAAGCACTGAAATCAGGTCAAGTGCAGCTCTACTGATGTTCTATATGTAAGTTAAGGAACCCTGTTGTGTGTGTGTGTGTGTGTGTGTGTGTGTTTCAGTTTGCTCGGGTTCAGGACAGGATGGGTGTGCAGGAGGAGTTGGACAGGCTGCTCTTCCTGGTGTCCGATCAGTCTCTGTCCCTGCTGCCTGAATACCACCAGAGGATCAAGGTCTGGATCAGACGTTTGAGTCACTCTTCTGATTTTCTGATCTGAAGTGTTTTTATTTTGGCTGTTGTCAGTTTGTTGTCAGTTTGAGTCCAGTATTTGACACCACAGCCTTTAGCTTTACCCTCTGTAGCTTTAGGGGCAGCTGTGGCTAGAGTCGGACCTCTCTCAATTGGTCCCAGGTCCCAGGTCTACACGCCATTGGACAAGACTATTCCTGACATCTTAGCCAATGGCGTGTGAATGCGTATGGATGGGATTAGTTATTTGGTTAATGATGTGAATTTAACATAGAATCCTCTTCCATCGGTGTATGAATGTCTGTGTGTGAATTGGTGAGTGATTTGTACTCTAAAATCGCTTTGAAGATTTTAAAAGCGATGCATAAGTGTATTTAATTTATCGTATACCTTCTAATTTTACGATAAGATAGTCCCCTAACCGACAACTGAAATAATTCCCAAAAACATAACAGATCCCAGATGAGGCTTTAAGTAACTATTTCTTTCATTATTTATCATTTTTATTCCAGATTAAGTCTGAATTTATTTCATACCAGTCCCCATGAGCCCCAGGCAGTGCCTTTAGAGACAATTTTGTCTGTTCAAAGTCCTTTAAGAAGTGGTCAACCCAATGGTTTAAAGCCCCTGAGCCAACCAGCAAAAAAAACGAGATTGTTGTTTAAAGCTTCTTTTTAAATAGTGATGAAAGAGACTGAAATTAATACTGAAGTCTCCTTGTGACCTACAACAGCAAACCAAAACATCAAGAAGATAACCGTCTTTCGATAGAGTCATTTCTAATGTCTGAGACTGCTGCTGCTGCTGCTGCAGGGTAGGTGTCAGACAAATGGATTTACAGGTTGCAGTAAAGGCCTTTTTTTTAATTTTTTTTACTTCATTCAAGTTCACAGCTAGTGACACGTTTGACAAGAAACGACTGACACCTGAACAGTACAACACCCTAAAGGTCGATAAGACCCACCACTAGGGGGTGCAAAAACCACCAGAAACTGAAAGTCCTTCATAAGAGCTGTCATCAGTATTACGATCAAAGTGCCTCCATAAAATAAAGCTTTTGAGACTTAACTTTATTTTAGTTATAGAAGTTTTTTTTTTTTTTTATGAATGTGTGTGAATTTAAACTGACAGTTTAATTTTGTTATTTCCATGAGCATGTCATTTTTAAGAGAATAAGAATAGAACTTTAATTGAGTTCAGCTTGACGTAGATGTAACTAACCCGGAGTCTTCCTCCCTGCTGGTCCTCCTCAGGTGCTGCAGTCCCTCCAGTATGTGGACAGCGGCGGCGCGGTGCAGCTGAAAGGCCGCGTCGCTTGTCAGATCAGCAGCCACGAGCTGCTGCTGACCGAGCTGCTGTTCGAGAACGTCCTGAGCCCTCTCGCTCCGGAGGAGAGCGCCGCCCTGCTGTCCTGCCTGGTGTTCACACAGAACACGCAGGTGGAGCCGCACATCACCAACACACTACAAGAGGTGAGGAGACGGTGTTATTTAAAGTGACAGTCACTGTGACGTGTGTGTGTGCTGACATACTGTACAGACTCTGACTCCCCCATGGATGACTCAGACACACACACACACACACACACACACACACACACACACACGAACACATTATAATTCATTTTACTTGTGCAGATTTTATGCATAACACTTCAGCCCTGAAGAAAGGACAGCAGGGGCACGTCACCTGACTCAGCCCTGTCCCCTCACTCACTTAATAAATCACTTATGTCTTCAACTCTGTCCTCTGTGTGTGTGTGTGTGTGTGTGTGTGTGTGTGTGTGTGTGTGTGTGTGTGTGTGTGTGTGTGTGTGTGTGTGTGTGTGTGTGTGTGTGTGTGTGTGTGTGTGTGTGTGTGTGTGTGTGTGTGTGTGTGTGTGTGTGTGTGTGTGTGTGTGTCTTGAACTACATGAAAGTGCTTTACGAGTCTCTAAATTAGTGATGACCTGAGCGCTGCAGACCTGCGAGAGCGCTGCAGACGGTTTGTTAAACACATTTCCTTGAACGTAAATGGCGAGGTCATTCTGTTAACACTAAGAGGGAACTGAGCGATGCATTTAAGGGTGGCGTGTAAACTTAAAATCTTTCAAGCTTTACTTACTCTTCCCAATCTTCCCACATCTGTCTCTCTTCATCTCTTGTCTTCCCTTTTTCCTGTTTTTCTTTCAGGGCATCGATCGGGTGCTGTCTGTGGCCAAGCGTATCGGAGAGCTGCAGAGGGAATGTGAGATACCTCAGACGGCCGAGGAGTTTGTCGGCCAGTTTAAGTTTGGCCTGACAGAGGTTGTGTACTGCTGGGCCAGAGGCATGGTGAGGTTTAACTCTCTGCTGTCCCACTCGATTTTCACCACTTTCACACCATGTACAAACATGCAATCTTTACCGTGATGAAAAGAAATGCATTACAAAGGTACAGCTGATAAATTTGACATATCTCAACTAGCTTGGAAAATAAAAAAATCAGCTCTAATGTACTAATTACAAACAAAATGCAACTATTCAAGTTTAGTTGGATAGAAGCAGTGGGAAAAAAAAGGGGAAAAAGAGCTTAAATAAATCTCCACTTCACTTTAGAGATTTCAAAACAGGATGTTGAAAGACATTTATATTTCTTATAAATGGAGAGTATTACAAATAGTGTTGTTGCTCTTCAAAGGAAGAAACACAAATAGGCATGACATTTGAACATTACATTCAGAGTTACAAACTGTAGAAACATAAATACATATAGAAAAAACATTGCAAATAAACCTGACCTGTAAAAAGAAAACAACAAATCCATAATTTCTGGAGCATTGTGACATCTCCAGCTCTACTTCATCAATTTAACTTTTTAGTTGTTTTTTTACAATTCATGAGAGTCCAGTCTGGTTAGAGGTTTTGTTTTTAATGCAGGCGTATATGTGTGCAAAACATTGCAAATGTAATGCAAGAAAGTAAGGAAAATGTATTTGGTATAGCAGGTTTCACAGAGCAAGACCACAAAGTTCAAATTGTTATAAAATATATATATATATATATAAAATAATAATGGATTATAAAAGTAACACCAAAAACAATTATTAATACTTAAATAATAAAATATGTGTAACTTAATATCATAACAGCAATATGATATTTTGATTTTCTGATTACACGACCTAAGCGAGACAAATAAATAGTAATTAATAAAGGACCCAGAACAGATCCCTGAGGAACGCCACAAGAAAGACCAGCACTCTTAGATATTTGAACAACTTCCATTTTAACATAAGAGGTAATAAAAATATCTCCTATTTCCCAATCAAGAACAGATCTGTTTTTGTATACTGTTCTTGCGTTAGGCTCTGTTCTTTTGGGTTGCAGAAGCATGATTATTTAAAAAAAAAAAAAACTAGATAAAAAAAATAAGAGATTATAAAAGTAACACCAAAAAATACTTATTAATACTTAAATAATAAAATATGTGTATCTTAATATCATAACAGCAATATATGATATTTTAATTTGCTGATTACACGACCTAAGAGAGACAAATAAAAAGTAATAAAGGACCCAAGACAGATCCCTGAGGAACGCCACAAGCAGGAACAGATCTGTTTTTGTATACTGTTCTTGCTTTAGGCTCTGTTCTTTTGGGTTTTTTGGTTATTTTGGGTTGCAGAAGCATGATTTGTCATTTTCTATTTCCTTTAAATCATCTTGAATCCATCAGGTTTATCTTGTCCCCCCTTAGAAACCTGACTCACACAGTATCCTTACTTGTGAAACTGTCTGACATCTCAAAGCTTGATTGTAGGCTAGTTATGTTTGCATCGGTTATTATTATAATGCTTTCTATGTAATACTAAATATCAGATTTTCCTTCATTTCAAGACACAGTGAAGCTATTTGACTTTCTTTGGTTGCATCACCTCCCTCTTATGTCTCGTTTCAACTCCAGCCATTCGCAGAGATCGCCATGCTGACAGACGTCCAGGAGGGCACGGTGGTCCGCTGCATCCAGCGCCTGGATGAGGTGCTGAAGGAGGTGCGTCAGGCCGCCCGCATCGTAGGGGACTCTGTCCTGGGGAGCAAAATGGAGAAGGCCTCCCTGGCCATCCGCAGGGACATCGTCTTCACAGCCTCCCTCTACACACACTGAGAGACACCAGGAGAGAAAGTGTTTGTCTTAGTGAGAAAGACGTGAGAAAAAATGGGGGAGGTAACGAGATGGTGTAAATGAACACATAAGTGCTGTATGTGCCTATAAAACATGTTGATGTTTACATGAAGATCACTGGAAATGAAGAAGGGAATGATTTTAGTCCACAGACCAAAGTACAGACAACATGAAATCTGCATTGTAATTTATTGTACAGTAATAAAATCTGTATTAAACAAAAACATACATTTTGTTTTTTTTCCTCTGATACATGAAGAAATGTAAGATTACTGGTTTCCTGCTTCTTCTCTGACATTCTGAGTAGAAACTCCTCTGACGGAGAAATCATTTGAGGACAACATACAAGAGAGGAACAAAAATGTTGTAATGTCATGCATGGGTGGACAGAAATCCACATTTTTTTTCTTCTTTTGTTGAGCTGTAGACAATAATGGGATGTTCCAGCACTGTGCATTTTCTATCAGTCCGGGCTGTCGCTTTAAGACAACGATAGCTTTGTGTCTGATTAATTCAATGTACGGCGACGCGTTAGTGGAGAAACCTTATTAGACTCGCAGCCACACAGAGAGAGAGAGAGAGAGGAGAGAGAGGAGAGAGAGAGAGAAGCACAAGCAGCCCTGCGCGCTGGAAGGATAATTAGGTTTATTTTAAAGTTGCCATTGAATCGGGGGCGGTTTTTTTTTTCTCAAGATGAAGACATCTTGAGGATTGGTTTTGGAGGAATAAAAAAAAACTCTGCATCAACGTGCACAAGATCGGAGCGTTTTTATTTTTAATCACAACACATCCGATCAGAGGAGGAGGACAGAAGATCGGGAGGCATGTCGTCGGAAAAACACGGTAAGGGGGCTTTTTCTTAAACGTGCATCATTGTGAAGCTTAGTTCTGCCACTTCTGATTGAGATGTGATCATTTCTTCCAAATGTCTTTGATCCACGGTAACATCAGGATTTGGATATCTTCTTGTCCGCGTCATCAGCAGCATCTCCATCCGCTGGTGATGTGCACACACCGCTGTTTCTGTAGGATGATGCACCGCTGTGTGGGTGCAGCTGAAGGAGGGTGTTGAGGGGGGGGGGGGGGTGGAAAGCCCCCATTTAGGGCCCCATATTATATCAGACGGTTTTAAGTGGTAATATGAGACTTTGTGTTGTTATATTTTGATCTAAAGTCGCCTGTTTGTCTTTATTTCTGAATGAAATGCCTTTAAACTACACCAGCCCAATGACGTATAACCTGTCTAAGGTCAACTTTATGATGGCCTAATGCTCATTTTCCTTTTCTGTCTATGTGTCATTATTATCATTACGCACTGGCCTACGTAGGCCTACATCTCTCCTCACTGTAGACAGGAGTGTGGGTGTCCTCTGCTGCTGCTGCTGCTGCTGCTCTTACATTTCACTACCACAGTGTTTTGGGTTTACTCTTTAATTCCTTCACGATGGTAGAGGGAGAAATGTTGATGACGCAGCTTTAAGGTCATAATGAGACACATTAAGTTGTTAAAGAAACTGTAAAGGACACAGTGAGCCACACAATGCAGTTTGAGATAAAACTGTGATGTGGCTATGAGAATGATTAAACACTACCAATCTTATAAAGTATAAAACATTGCTTTCATTGTAATGGCTATAAGTATAAAGCACTAAATGGGGATTGGTCTGTGTAAATACAGCAAAGCTCTGTGACATGATTTTGAAAAAGGTCTAATTAGAGTCAGCTATAATAGACAAGAATGATGTTTTTTATTTAACACTTCATCAACCTATCAGCAACACTCCTCCATGTATTATGCTGAAATTTGCTAAATGTAATTGTCCTTAGGCATGAAAGCCTACTTACTAATAAAATAAAATAATTTTAGCAATTACAGGACAGTCACAGAAAAGCTCTCAATCAGTTTGACAAACGAAATGGACACAACATCCCTTAGATCCATTCCCAATGTCAATCAATCAATCAATTTGTATTTGTGTTGCGCCAATTCATAACAAATGTTCTCTGAAGACACGGAGCAGGTCTATACTTACTCTTTGTTGTATTATTTATGAAGACTGAATATTAATCCACCACGAGCACAGCACTATGAGCAACATTTAAGTTACAGCTGCCTTTAAGAGGCGGAAAACCTCGAGCAGAACCAGACTCATGTTGAACAGCTATCTGCAGAAACAACAACAACAACAATTGATACAGATTCACAATGCCAGTTATGCCATTTTGAAGCTCTTGATTAAGTATGAAGAAAACTGGTTTGAAAACGTTCTGTCCAAGTCAAAACTAAGGACAAATGTACTGATCAAAAATCATTTTATGCCTGAGTTATCTGTAACGTGTCGTTTATCTAGAGGCCAAAGATCCTCGGTCACACAGTTAAGATCTGATATTCTCCCTCTGGCCGTTGAAGTCGCTCGATTCAAAAACATTCCAGTAGAAAACAGACTTTGTGAGATGTGTGAGTTGGACGAAGTTGAAACGGAGTCCCATTTTCTTTTGCATTGTACAAAATCTGATGATTTAAGAGAATTATTGTTTCATGAAGTAAAATCAGAAATATTGGAGCGGACAGATGTGCAGAAACTTTAAGTTTGATGTGTTTAAACTTTGCTCATTTTGTTTCAAAAGCTTGTAAGAGGACAGGATATTCTGTTTGATTAGTTTGACTTCTTGCTTTCTCTTTTTGTTTCTTGAGAATGAATATAGTTTACCTAGTGCACTCTGATCAGGGAAGGTTTTTAATTTATGGTGCCATGCATGACACAATAATGAAATAAAAAACTAAACTATAATGGTTACAGTGCATGTTTTATTAGCAGGAACAACTGATAATTCTAAAATAAACATCAGCAACTATAATGATGAAATGTGGAGGACTCATAATGTTGATTATAGAAGGTAAAGTCGAGCATCGCTCTTAGATTCACTTGTGTAGGATAAGACTGAAAAGCACATTTTGGGTTCAAAACAACTGCACTAAATTAGAAAAATCACTAGCATACTAACATTAGCATATTTCCAGAAAGGTGCAGTGTGATATCCTTAAAAATAAATAAAGATGTCTTAATAAGATTTACTTATTAATGAGACTCAGAGACTTCCTGAACCATCCAAACTTTGCAGTAAATAAGGTACCACAGCACTATAACCTTTTATTGCTTGTGTCAATGTGGTTTTCTTTTCTGGGTGTTTTAAAAATGTTGTTAACAGCCATGTTTCAGACATTTTATGTTAAGATATTTTGAGCTAAAAAACACAAAAATCCTGAGCTTCTTTCTCCAGACTTTGGATTTCTCACACATTAAAATTAAGAAACCCACACGTCTTGCGTCTCTAATGTTTGTCACATCATGACCTTTTTCTTTTTTCTTTTTTTTACCAGTACCAGTCCCTCTCTCTCTCGCTCGCTCCTCTTTCTCTCCTCCGTCTGTTTCTGGTCCACTTCCTGCCTGTGACAGAGTTTGGGGTCTGTTACGTAAAGCCATGGTCCCCGAGCACAAGTCGTCATCCCTCATCACTCACTCCGCTTCCTCCTCCCTCCTTCCCTCCCTCTCTCCTCCTCCTCCGTCTCCTCCTTCTCCCCTCCCTCATCATGTCCCTGTCAAAATACATCAACAAACCTTGACCTCCTACCTGCTGTGAAAACATGACACCCCATCACTCCATTCTTTTGTTAACTAAACACCAGGGGAGCAGAAGTGAGAGCATGAAATATTAAGATGTCCAAATCAGACTGATGTGTCATCTGGACTTTATCACTCTTGCACCAAATTCTTGGTTTCCAGGTCTAATCTTCAAACTAGAATCTCCAACACTCTGGGATGTTTTCCAAAGTGTTGTTAGACACTAAGAAAAACAATCTGAGCACTTCAGATGAACAACTAAGCATCATAAATTGACTTACTTATCCTGTAATTGCCCCCATTGGATTACTCGTAGCCATTAGGAGTAAGCCACTCATTAGAGGCGGCTGTGGCTCAGTGGTAGAGTCGGTTGTCTCTCAACCGGAAAGTTCGGCAGCTCCGTCTCCAGCTCCTGCACATGACCCTTAACCCCAAGTTTCTCCCACTTCTTCATCAACGGTGTAATCAAAAGAAAACAGAAACAAGTGTGTGTTTAGGCAGAGAGACTGTCAGCGTGGAAACATACATTTTTACCCCTCATCACCTCAAGTGCCGCCAAAGTGAGCAAAAAGGAGATCTCCATTATCACACCAAACTACTGGAAGCCGAATCCCCAATAGCCTTCAATTTTTGTCGTTCAGTTTGTAATTATTTGCATCTAAAAAATATGAGAAACTAGTTTGAATGGACAATATTTCAAATTTGGTTTGAGTTTGTCTAAACATTACTGATAAGGGGGTTACATTGGGAATGGTTAAGTTTGATAATTATTGCAAATGTTAGCTTTCATGGAAAGAAAAAGGAAGAAGCAGCTACATCAAGCGTCTGCTGTGAGTCGCTTTGAGAGCTGCGTTTGTTGATTGTTGAATGTTGAGTTTGGTTATTTTCAGCTGGGTTTAATGTGTGCGGTTAATGATGGTTTTAAACCAGTGGATGTTGAACATAGGCAGATAGCATCAAGTTAAACATACAACTATCTAACACGATAGAGTAACCATCTAGCGTAGCATATTTCAGCTAACGTCGACGATGTATGCAAGCTATTCATTTTTTTTTTGTCTTTATTGACAAATTTAAAACATACAAAAAATGTTGAAACCAAATCTTATAGAGGATGAACATACAACAGCAAAATACACAGGAACAAGTTAATGCTAGCTGACTATGACATAGCAAAGTATTTTAGTTACTCACACACCAGTTTGAAAACAATATTTTATGATAACAAGGGGTCTGTTTCCTAATCTGATTATTAGTTTGACGACTCAAACTTTTGAAGCCACACTAACCCAAGTGTCACATGTGACTCTGAAAAGGAGTTTGGCATTCCTCCAGTCTTAAAAAATGCTTCAAACAGCAAAATTAGATTTTTATCCAGGTTTTTTTTGTGTGATGAAAATGTTTTTTCACTCAGATTTTGTGGATGCTTCATTAGACTCTAAACCATGATATCACACATGCATATTTACATTTCCAGAGGTCATACATACTGTACATGAGTTAAACAGCCTTCCAGCCACTGTGTGCTTCTGACAGTCCATCACATGAAGTTCTCCGTCTCTGAAATGTCACATTTCTGAACCGCTAATTACATCTTTTTGAAAGCAGACAGGGAGAGAAAGGTCTCGGTTCTTCTGGTGAAAATGTCAATCTCAGTCTTCATTAGCACTCAGGCAGCACAGGGGTTTCTCTCTCTTTGAAGTCTTGGTGAGAAGATGTGGTTCGTCTTAATTGTTTTTCGTCTGTTCCATCGGTGAAATAAGCACATTCAACATGCGGACAGGATGTAGTCGACCAGTGTTGAGTTAGATAACGTGCCCTCTGTTCTTCCTCTGCTTTTTCTATTTGTGATTTCTTCCTACATTCTTCTTTTTTTTTTTTTTTTTTAAATCTGTCCTTCCTCTTCTTTCTCTTCCTTTTTCTTTTCTCTCAGGTCTTGATGAGTCCGGCCGTCAGACCATGCAGCCTCCTCCGTACCTCCCCGGCCCACAAGACCCCAACGTCCCCCAACATCCCCAACAACACCCCCAACAACACCCCCAACAACACCCCCAACACCCTCAACAACACCCCAACATGCAGCCAGCGCCGGGTACCCAACCCAACTACCCTCCTCCTCCACCGCCTCCAGGATCGGAGGGATACCTCCAAGAGACCCAGTTCCACTGCGGCCCGATGGGACCTCAGGGAGCTCCGCAGGGCTACACGGTCCAGACGCAGGGACCCGGAGGCACCATGCCTCACCCGCCTGTAGGATACCTCCATCCTGGTTACCCACTGCAGCTGCAGCCCTGCACAGCCTACGTACCCGTCTACCCCATGGCATCGGTGAGTCAGAGACAAACAAAGATTTCACAGGGCTGACATCAGTCTGCGGCAGGATTACACCAGACTCTATTTTAATTTATTGTACAGATGAGAGTGCTTTAGTTTTATCTTTTCACAATTACAGATTTGAGGGATTTAATACGTTTAATTCAATGATGTTTCCTTTCACTTTTTGAGGATGTTTCTTGGAAAGAAGTACGTTATTTGATCCGAACTAAAAGAAGGATATAGACATAGTTGTTACTTCCTTTAAAGAAGAGCTTCTGCATGTTAATCTGACATTACTTGATGCCTTTCACAGGTTGATGTCGTGTTATTTACTTGTTTGGAGCTTTTTTATTGACTGATTTAAGCAAAAAATATCCAATATCAAATCATATGAAATGTCAAACAAATCAAGTTTCACATTTTACTCAATTGCTAAATTGCATTTGTTGTTTTAAGACAGGCTTCAATACATTTTCATTTAAAATATTGTAGGTCAGTGCATCAAGCTTTTGGTCCACAGATGCATTGCTTCATAGTTTTCTGTCATGTAGCAGGAAAAGGTATTTGTACAACAGATTTTTTACAAAGAGTGTAATGCAAAGTGGTTTACATTTGCTTATTGAATCTTTGAGTTGTGCTCCTGAATTGACAAAGATATGTTTTTGTATTTTTTCCTTTTGCAGTCAATCAGAGGTTTCAAACCGAGTCCTTATTGGTGTTTTAAAATCTGACGGGGTTGTGAAGGAAAGAGTAAAAACAATAGTGCAACACAGGGTCACATTTTCTTTTTTATTTCATGAAAGTTTGACCTCTCCAAGACTCTCAAAAAATATCAACGGGTTGAATATGGAGCTGGACATTCCTGTTCCTCTCATTTCTTGTCATATCTTTATTTTTGGCTGTCAATTTTAAATGCATAGAAATTTTAAAAAACTAATGTTTTAACACAGGTCACAGTTTCACAAACATCATTGTGTATTACCAATTTGTTCATCTATTTATTTATGACTTTTCTTATACAAAGTTGTTGTTTTTTTAAGTTAAGCTGTGTACGCTTACACATGAGAGGATGAAACTGTTCATCCATGTTTCATCTGCACAGCTGTCAGCCTCTTGTCGGACACTTTCATGATAACCTCAATTATTTAAATCGCACCTTTAATGTTTGCACTGACTTCGCTAAAAAAATTTGACTCATCTCAGGGGATTCTTTAAATCTTTTTCTCAGGTTAATATATATGTATGGGGGGGGTCAGTTTTGTGGTTAATTTTAACAAATGTTTCATGTCATGTCTTGGTAACCTGCTGCTGGATGCTTTGAATTTCCCTCAGGATCAATAAAGTATCTATCTATCTATCTATCTATCTATCTATCTATCTATCTATCTGTCTATCTGTCTATCTATCTATCTATCTATCTATCTATCTATCCATAACACAGAAGTTAACCAGAAGTTGTGACATTTGGCCCCAAAATGTGACTGTGAGTCACTGAAAAACTTGAAGTGTCTCTTTTTTTCTGCTGCCGTCTTTAACAGCTGAATTATAAATAAATGTTAACCAAGAACAAATCTTCACAGCAGCATGCTCACCTTGCCAGCGCCAATCTCGCAAATAAATCTTTCTCTTTTCCTGCCACTTATAATCCTCCTTTTTCTATCGTGTTCCCTTGTTCTTGAGTATTCTGTGAGAGGTAGTCCTTTGGAAGCTGTTGTTCTCACTTCCTGTCCTCTTCTCTCTCTCTCTTCGCTCAGGGTCAGCCCTACATGCCCGCCGCGGGAGGCCACCCAGGGATCCCAGCGGGTCAGATTCATCCCATGCAGATGCCCCCCAGCATCACCCTGATGGACCGCCGGCCGCCTCACGACTACCTGCCCATCGCCGTGCTCACCACCGTCTGCTGCTTCTGGCCCACAGGCATCATCGCCATCATCAAAGCCGTGCAGGTTAATCACTCTTCAAGACATCTTTTCATCTTTTGAGCTCCATTTACATAATGTCGCCTTCACTTTGTGACTTTGTGGTGTAAATCCAAAGGTGACTTTACCCCTCATTTCATCTTTAGAAATGATCTTCCCTTTCAGAAGGAAATTCCAGCCTGCAGTTAGTTTATATACCTCTGCTCTGAAATCCTGATGGAGTGGTCATTAATGTATGGATTTGTTCAGACTCAGAATCAGAATCAGAATCAGAATTCGGGTTTATTGGCAAGTACATTTACACATACAAGGAATTTGACTTGGTGTATTGGTGCTAAACACTTAACAAGGAAATAAAGCAGAACTAACAACAACTTCAATAATACAGTATAAGAAGATATTACAATATATAAAATACAATTTAAAATATAAAATATAAAAATAAAAAACACAAAATGTACAAAAGGTGTAATGTAGGAGCTGTGCAGTGGACTATGAGAAAAAAATCTTAGTGTGTGTAACTTCTCACAGAGTGCACGTAAGGAAGATACATTTTTAAAATCCAGTGGGCGTTAATTCTTTATAATATTTCAACAATTTATGGATGGATTTCAAGGATATTTTGCACAGACATTTATGGATCCCTGGAGAGGAAAATTACTTGTTTAACCCTTTACCTTTTCTCTAGTGCTGCCATGACCCCAACAGTTTTGGAAAAAAAAGGTAAAAATAGCCCCCAAATTATTATTATTATATAATAATAATACATTTAATTTGTAACGCACTTTACTTTTTTAGCAAAAAAATCTTAAAGTGCCACTGAAAAAAAAAAAATGGTTAAAACGTTCATATCAAAATGAAATAACTAAAGAGATTTTACTTTAAAGGCCATCCTTACTAAAAAAAAAAAAAAAAGGTTATATGCAGCAGTTATATTGGTCTGTGGCCCAACACTTAGGTACCCACATTTCTGAATCATTTCCTCTAGCTTGTTGTTCTCATGCTGCTTTCTGCTCAGGTTACGTCGAGTAAAGTGCACAAACATCCACTCAGAGTGGCTTCTGGATCGCTCACACAAACTCAGCTCAGGTTTTCATTACCCTGTGAAACACCCTGTCAATGTCTTTTAATTTAAGAACCTAACTCATTTCATGATTTCTATGTAGCAAATGTTTGCTTTGTGCACTTTTCATGCAGTGCTTTGAAAGTTTGCTTCCTTTTCCTATTCAGAATGAATTCTCTGGTTGAACAAAGCAAGGATTTTTTTAAATGTATTTTTCACTCTATCTTCACGACTTTAATATTTTTCTTGATCAGGAAAAATTTCAATTACATCAGAAAACTGGCACAGCAGAAGTCAGGTTTTTCCTTCACATTTAGAGATAATTGAGCGTGCACTCATTGTTAAGCTGCGCTGACATTTCACCTACACAAGCTGCTCTTTTACAAGCCCTTTTAAAAATGCAATTTCTTTAACACACAGGTGAAGTCGAGCGTGATGCCAGACATGTTAAAGGCTCAGTCTCGAGGCTCTCATGCCTGTTTGCCGCTGTGACATCAGACTGCGCTGACCAACATGCTCGCAACATACCACATTACGTAACTGCACCATTGTCGCTGCAACGGGGATGGAATGGATTTTTTTCCTCTGGGGCTCGCTCAGCTGGCTTTGAGCTGAGTTGAGCTGACAAGGCATGGACCCACCGGTCTGAGCTGTGTGTGTGTGTGTGTTGTGTGTGTGTGTTGTGTGTGTGTTGTGTGTGTTAATGCTGTGCGGAGTGGCCTCTTTCTGCACATCGGGCCTGTGCTGCAGAGAAATCGATCCATTCATTGTGTTTTAGACTCTCCCCACTGCTCCCACTCGTGCATCTTCTTGTTACATAACATCTAATTTTCTCCTCTCTCTCTCTCTCTCTCTCGCTCTCTCTCTCTCTCTCTCCCTCTCTCACACCAATCCCCCTCACTCCTGCATCACTCAGGTGCGCACAGCGATAGCCAGAGGGGACATGGTGACGGCGGAGATAGCCTCCCGTGAGGCGCGCAACTTCTCCTTCATCAGCCTGGCTGTCGGCATCGCCTCCATCGTGCTGTGCACCATACTCACCGTGGTTGTCATCATCGCCTCGCAGCACCACGACGACGAATGGGAGCCGTAACTCCAACGCAGACGGGGGAAATCACGGCACATAGCCAACTACTCTCGATCGTTTTTGAGGATATACCGTAGGAGCACTGACAAATGCAACACAAACTGCTAAGGCGTTTCCTGCCCTCTGTGACCAACTACACACACACACACACACACAGCTCTGAGTTAACCTGCTGTCACACAACACACACCAACAACCAAACACAGCGTATATGATGAAACACCAAATACAAGAGCTGTTTAATGAGGTCCAGAATTTCCCTTTGCACTCAAATATGAGCCGCAAGAGGGAAACAATGCTCCACACATTAACAATTAATTTGATGCTGATTATAATAAGTTTTGATTATTTCACCAGATCAGAGGATAGGTGGCTGTGTGTTACAACAACATCTGCTAAATGCGCCCACACAGATGTATTTTTTTGAGTAGTTAAATGCACATTTAGTCTTAAAATTATACATCTTTAAAAACATTTTTAAAAAGTGCCATGCTTAGTGACAAGTGTTGATCAGGTGTTAGTGCTGATTGCCCGGGTTAGAGGCGCTGCTCAATACACATTCTTACACACCAAATCGAGACTGGATGGACGAAGCGTCTAATGTAACCAAACAAGATTATTTATTTGAGATTGGATGTTTGTGAATTATTTGGTTTTTTTTTTTCATTTATTTAAAACTCTTATTTATTAATTTATTCAATATCTACCCATGCACTAACGTTGTCTGCTATAATTTACAGTATATCAATCATTTTTCTTGCAGCTATCTGACACTTTGCAATTGGCTTAAATTTGATATCTGAAGATGTTGATTTTGCACTTTGTAGTGACCACATGAGATGATGCAGCTGCTTACATTCATAGTTCTTATAGTGCATGCTAAATATGAATTTAAGCTATTGGGCGTCTGGTGCAAAAAAAAAAAAAAAAAAAAAGCTTTTCTCCCAGCTGCTGGTGGGAATATTTCCAAAAAAAAAATGTTGTGTGAAATAGTATTTTTCAAAACGTTTAAAAACGGCTGCTGTAATAACAAGAATATCAAGGAGACAATTTAGATGATAAGTATTTGAATTTAATATTTGCGAATATTTGTTTTTTGCAAGTATTTTCAAAGTAGTGTATTGGCCTATTTTTTGTGTTGCACATCTCTTAGCTATTTATTCAATCAGACACTGTATATGAAACTTTTGTGCAACGTTAGACTAATGAGGTATCATAACCCTGCATGTGATCCCTCACTTTGTTTCCATTTGTCTTAAATATCAAGGCTGCGTGACGGCTCAGAGCCTTTTTCACTGTTGTGTACACAAAGCGTCAGACGGGGTTCACTCCATGTGAGTTTCCATGATGTAGCGTTTAGCTCTGAGCAGTAGGTGTGCTACTGTTTGTATGAGCCATGACAATACAGCGTGAATATTATTTGGTGTTGCTGGGGTTACGGGAGAACAGAAAATGAATGTTTCCAATAGAAGAGAGAAAGAGAGAGAGAGAGAAAATAATAATGCCTATACAGTATTGTAGCACTTTCTGCTATCTGAAATCTGTCCCCTGGTTCCCATTCTCTCTCTTTTTGTCTCCCCACATGAGTTATTGGACCTATTAATACCTCCCTCTTCCCCTTTCTCTTTTGCTCTGTTGTTTTTTTTTAAGAATAATAGAGAGATATTGAAAAAATATATTGTTTGTGGACAATGAACACAAAAAGAGACAGTATAAATACAGTTTATTCTGTAGTTTATGTTATTATCAAAGTCATTATTATTATTTATTGCTATTGATGATCACTTACGTATAATATAAGGTACAGTGGACACATCCTGGCCTGTATTTATCAATTGTCATTTACTTATTATACATTTACAGTTAGTCGTTATGCTGGGCGATGAGTTTTTTCTGTACAAATTGTTGATGATATTCATTTAAAGAAAATATTATGGTCTGAAATATGTAAATTAACTTAAATTAAACAATATTTGAGATATTTAAAGAGTATGAAAATATAAATATAGACAAAAAAAAAGATGTATGATGTTAAAGCTGGACACAAAGAACAAGCTGGAGAACGGAGGAGCGTCTCCTACCATCAGAGATAACAGCTCATATAAGAGGCTCAAAAATATATATAAATCTAATGTCTATGTCTAAAAGCACTTTACCCTGAGTTATTATTCTGAATTTATAATTCATATCAGATGATAATATTTGGTAAAATCTCTTCATAATGTCCCGGAAATGCTACGATTAGATTTTACTACTCCATCTAAACACTAAAATAGAGTTTCAATAAATAGATTTGAATCTACAAGCAACTTTTTTAAATTTAAAAAGATATTGTCTCCTTTTAGCTAAGACAAAGACTAACCCCTAATCAAATCTATAGCCCACCTAGCACCATTCAATTCTTGTGTTTCCTCTTTGGGCTTAAAAGAAATCTCATCAGGGTGTGACAGGTGGTTGTTGTTACTTTTGGACAAAGCAGTCTAGCCCTTTTTTTTCAAAAATTGCAGAGCTAAACTAACTAGCTTCAGACTGTAGCTAGATTAGCCTAGCGTACACATATGAGAGTAGTCTTAATCTTCTCATCTGTGTCTTTGCAAGTAAAATAAATAAGCAGGCTGAATCATTTATTTAAGATGAGGATGAAAAGTCAAAGATGTTTTACTTCTATCCAACACTTTACCCAAAAAATGTACTTTTATCAGTTTGATAAATACAGGCCGTGTCCTTCTGATGACACGTTGATATTTCAGTGTTTAAAGAGTTAATGAAGCACAGTGCTGTTTAGTATTATTATTGTAGTTAATATCTAGTTAATATGACGCTATAGGCTCCCTGTGTGCTTTCTATTGGGACCTCTCTGTGACATGAACCGCAGCTGTTTACCTGAACAGCTGACAGATTTATTCATCATTTCCCTTTTTATTTCTTTTTTTTTTTACGTTTTGTTTTTTATTTATGAGCCTGTACATGCGATGATTGGATGCTTGTTCAAAGAGCCAAAAAAAAAAAAAAAAAACCTGTGTACATGTGGTTCTCTTTGGGGTTTATCTTTATAATAGGCTGATTTTCATGGCTGTGTTGCACATGCATTGGTTGTTTCTGACTTCAGTTGTTTGAGCGACGAATAAAAGAATAATTTTTTGTTGATGCATTAGTGAAGGCAGCCTCTCAGTCTCTCCCACATCCTCTCAGTCTCTCTGTGGCCTTTCCGCTCTCCCCCCATCACTAAGGTGCTATTTATAGTTGCCCCGGTTTTTTTCTCACTCTGTCTCTCTTTTTCCTCTCTCTGTCAGATCTACACTATCTCTCACTATCATGTGTTTTTTATCATGTGACATTTTTGGTTTCACAGCCGATTTTGTCTACACGATGACGGCAAGTGTTTAGAGCACAGAAACAAAGACAAAGATGATGCCTTCTCATCCACCCTAATGTAGACATACTACAACATTTACCCAAAGGATATGCCATTATGTCTTTTAGGTTCCCCTGACCTTCCCCTCTGCGCCACTATGTGGTATTGAAAGGAATCTCAAAAGTCATCAGCATAAAAAGATCTCAGCTACATGTTTTGTGCTAATTCATGAACGTTAAATTAAGATTGTGAACAGTTAACTGGTGGATGTATTTTGAAGGCTTGCTTTACATGAATCTTGCCTTAAAGTCAACATCCTGCAAACATCGTCAATGGGGTTATGTGAGTATGCTTACATTTAGCTCAAAGTTGTGCTCTACTCAGTTACCTTAATTGTAAGAAAAGATATTTGTAGAATTACAATTTAATAAAATGTTATAAGCTTGTGGAATAAGATGCAAGCTTCGGCAAACTTCTATGGACTCTGCCATTTTTGAAAATGTCCGCAAACCAATATCCCAATAAGTAAGCTTGGGGCTTAAAAAAGAATTCCTAGGCTGAGGTTTAAATACAAAAAGATGAGAGCATTTAAATGACTATTCACATAAACATGATATATACAACCACATTTAAAGGGAGTATATCAAATAATAATGACTCATTCTTTAACGTTAGAATGCTAATTAAATGCTTTTGTAAAATGTTTGCCTTCTTTCATGCAATCCAAGTCATTAAACAAATTGTTAGATACATCAAAGGGTTAACCACATTGAAGCTACTAAACATGAGCATGTTAGCCTGATGACGTTATCTATGAGGTCAAAGAACAGCTTAAAGGCTTTATATGCGATTTTTTGATCCAGCAGATGTCGCCCTTGAGCTCCAGCATGAAACCAAAACAACTTGCGCTGCATTGTTGTGTTAGCATGCTAATGCTAGTGATCTTTATTATGCTGGTATCTTCACACTGCATGTAAATTTACCTGAAATGAGCGTGATCTAGAAACACAGTTAAGCAGTGAGTACAGTATGTTATTCTTCTTTTCTCTAGTCCCTCAATTAAACAACTTTTATACTCGAGGGGAGGAGTCAGCCGGCCGTCCCGGCGATGTAAACAAAGTGAAGATAGGACTCTGAAAACTCTGAAAGCATCACAGACAGTGGGATTTATATTACATTTAAGTGAACAATCACATATAAAGCCTTTTAAACTTGAGTTTAGCCTCACAGAACAGATTTGATTTCTTTGTTTGACACAACAGGAAGTTATTTACTTGCTTCATTGTTAGTTTTTTTTTGTCCCATGAAGGTTGAATATAATTGTTCCCTATCCGAGCAGAGTATACTTTAACCTGGTTTCTACTTGGAAAATTATAGTAAAATCTTAACTGTCTTATAACTCTGTGTTTGGTCCCTACATACTTCTTAGGGGTCTTCAGCTGCTAAATGCTAACTGCTAACAGTGTCTGTTTGCAGTGGCAGCTCTGGTTGAAAACGCCTTTGTATAAAAGTTATGTTTTTATCGGTTGGAGGTAACCATACAGTAAAGTTGTGACAGCACTGCATTAAGCTTTGTCTGTATGATAGAGCTGTCATTAATGTAGAATAGCTGCAGGTTTACTTGTAATAACTAACCTCTTTCACAGCCACGTCGTTTCCACTCTGTCATTTGATAAATTAAATGAAATTATTATTAAAAGTAGGATATTAAAAAAGATCATGTTAGCCTCTATATACAATACATTTTAAATCAGGCCCATAGAAAAGAGGTTGAGGGAGAAGCGTGGTTGGAGCTCAGCCAGCCTGTGTGTGTGCAGGATCACAGATGGTCATTTAGCCTCCTGAGGAGAAGCAGCATCTCTGAGATCATTTGACTTGGCCTCACACTGCACGCCTCTCTCCTCCATCACACGGTCCCAGAGTCGCCCCGGGTCGCCCACGCTGGCTGTGTCTCTGCATGTGTTTGTGTCATCATGCAGCTTCCTCGCTGGACTGTCATCTCGGCCGCAGCGTCTGGACTGATCGCTGATGGCTGTATCATGAGGGAAATAAAACTCAGAGTCCTGCAAACATAAAACCAGAGGTGTGAGAACAAACACACATGGCTCTGCTCTGCCGCTGACATTTGAGATTAAATAGCAGGAAAACCTAAAGCCAGTGAATCGTGTCCGCCCTCCTTTCAGCATCATTACACGCCTGCATCGAGGGGAAGCTCTTCTTTTCGCTTCATGCTTCGCTGTCTTTGTCTACACGAACCCCAAACAATGGTGGACGAAGAATTTACATCCTTTACTTAAAAAAATGAAAAATACAAGTACAAGAACGAAAAAAATATACATGACAAAAAACTTTTATATCTTAAGTTCTAATTTAAGTGATGGAAAGTATATTCACTTAAATACAGTATTAAAGTGAACACGTTGTTGTACTCTGGATTTCTATCATTTATAATTATTTTCAAATTAACAGGTAGAAATGTAATCTTTACTCCACATCTGTCAGACATGTTTAATTAGTTTTTCCTTTTAAATGTAGACTTTAAAAAATAAAACAATATCAGTTTATTGATCAATCATTTCAGAAATGTATATGAAGTACCTCCAGCAACTGGAAAATTAGGATTTACATGAACACTACTTCACCTGATATAAAACTCTCATACCATGATGTATCTGAAAAATAAATACTTTTACCTTTAAGGTTTAAAATGTGATGAATACATTTTACACACTATACCCACACACACACACACACACACACACACACACACACACACACACACACACACACACACACACACACTATACCCACACACACACACACACACACACACACTATACCCACACACACACACACACACACACACACACACACACACACTATACCCACACACACACACACACACACACACACACACACACACACACACACACACACTATACCCACACACACACACATGCACACACACACACACACACACACACACACTATACCCACACACACACACACACACACACACACACACACACACTATACCCACACACAAACACACACACACTATACCCACACACACACACACACACACACACACTATACCCACACACACACACACACACACTATACCCACACACACACACACACACACACACACACACACACACACACACACACACACACACTATACCCACACACAAACACACACACACTATACCCACACACACACACACACACACACACACACACTATACCCACACACACACACACACACACACACACACTATACCCACACACAAACACGCATACATACACACACACATATGCATACATACACGCACACACGCACACTATACCCACACACACACACACACACACACACACACACACACACACACACACACACACACACACACACACACACACATGCATACATACACGCACACGCACACACACACACACACACACACACACACACACACACACACACACACACACACACACACACTATACCCACACAAACACACACACATGCACACGCACATATATATTTGTAAAATTCATTTTCTGTTAAATGTTGATCTCGGGTGCAGACATGTATTGAAGTGCTTCTGGGAACAAGTGCAAATCAAACAAGGTCGTAACTAAAACATATTTTGATATCACTGTTTCATCTTTAACAACATAAAGATAGTAAATTAAATTATACAATCATGTTTTTAATGGAAAATATTTATCTGAAAAGTAACAGCAGCTGTCACACAGCTGTACTGGAGTAAAAAAAGGTTTTCACATTTTCCTCTCAAATGAAGTGGAGGGGTCGTATTATGTGGAGTAAACATAAAGGACATGATCAAGAAAAGCACAGAACTTGTTTTGTACAAAGATAAACACAGAAGAATCGACTGAAAAATAAAAGTCATTACAATGAATAATAAATATTTGTGAGAATAATTTAAAGAGCAGTAATTAAGGCTGTGATTGTCATGTGTGCAAAATGTACAAATATTGTTTTACAGCAGCTGGAATAGACCTCAGCATGTTTCCAGTTTGGCAGGGTGACAGAGTTTGTTGGGACCAAATGGACGAGGGTCCAGGTGGTGCAAACACAGAGCTGGCATGAGAACAGAAGTGCAGCGGCCTGGCTGCTGTAGGAACAGTGAAACACTGAAATGAAGAGTGTGAAGCTCCAAACAGGTCCTTTGTTTGGTCAAAATGTCCCCAAAGATGTAACATAAACCAAGTGTCTCCTCCAGAGGAAAAACAGCTCCGTCAGTTTGTGTGATAATGAGCAAAGGCTGCAGATTAAAAGTCCATCAGTTCAGTGCAGCGGCTTCCTGGTTTGACCCCGGTTGTCTCTGTCACTGAAGGATCTTCTTCTTGATGTACTGACAGAGGCAGAGCGGGGCGGTGCTGCAGTGATTTCTCCGGGGACGCAGGCGGTGATGTGACGGTCCTGACAGCCTCTCAGACACCAGCAGCTTCACATACGCTGCACTGTAGGTCATGAGAAGCTGGTAGGCCTTAGCCTGCAACAATAACATAAAAACAAACAAGTTAAAGAAACCTACTTCAACCCAAAGACCAAAGAGAGCAAGATCGGCTCTGAAGCTGATATTGTGTAAGTGTAAGTAACCGGAGCAAAAGAGTTCATTTACAGGCTCTGAGAGTGTAGAGAGTGGAGTTGATAATTGGATTAATTTTGGTATCAGCATTCCTTAAATAACAATCTGTCTGTCTTTTCAATATCCAATCAGAACAGAGAATGCATCAAACAGATTTATGAACTAGCTCATGCAAAACTTTCAGCGCAAAAGCTTAACTTCTCAGAAGCGTTTTATGTCCAGCATTAGTAAGAATATGAACGACATACAGTAAGTGCCTTATGCTACTTAGAAGAAAAAAAACTTAAAGTGACTTTAGTCTGTTCATATTCATGTGAATTCATTCATATGGACTTTCAAATGTGAGCCAAACACTGGCTGAAAACATACCTATACTGTAAATCAAGATCTCACAACACACTTTTATTGAATTAAAAATAACAGTATTAAGGTTTAAATTATAGAAATATATTTAAAATGTTTTTTTAAAAAGTTGGTAAAAATGGTTTAAATCATTTATTTTCAAAAATGAGTAAATACAAATTATTTTAATTTGTATAGAAACTAAGAAGTCTTCATGTGTGTTTACCTGAGCAGGCAGAGAGACATCAGGGAGCAGGCTGTAGCTGGTGGTAACTTTGGTGTCCTCCCGCTGGCTGGATGAGGTACTGCAGCTCATCGCCTCATCTCCTAGCAGAGGCCTCTGTTCATCTAAATCCTGCTCGATATCTGACCCACTGACCTCATCGTTGACCTCCGTCACCAGGACGAGATGAGACATTCTCTTCTTCAGTTTTTTCTGGTGAAAGTGTGACATAAAATCGGACCACTTTACCTCCCTTCACACTAAACAGTTGAGTGAAGTCCAGAAATAAATGTCCTTAAAATAGCATCTGGAATTATGTTTCTATTGATCTCCGGGGAGGACAAACATGGAAGCAGAAGACAAATCGATGTAGCAGCAGGAGAACAAACACAGCGACAGATGTACTCGTCTCACTCACCTGGGTGTCATTTGTCACAAAATTGTGCTCCTCTAAAGTTTCAGTCAGTTCCCTCAGACAGCAGGACAAGTCCCAATACACAAAGTACAGCTGCAGACAAACAGGGAGCATCAGTATCTGCATGTTCTAAATTCATTTTGTTGTTCTGTCAGGATGTTTCGTGATCCAGAGCAAACCACCAAACCACATACCTTCATGTTTCCTTTGCAGTTCTGCACCCAGTCGGCCACGGCAACCAGCAGCTTGTGTTTCACCATCCTCTCATTCACCTGAATCAACCGAACGTCCAAGTTCATGTTGATCTGAAACACACACACACACACACACATACATTTTTAAATATGTATTTCTGTAATATGGATGTATATAGAAGCCTGATAGTTCTTCTTACGTCCTTGTTGCTGAGGTGGAGGATGAAGATGACGGCTGTGGTGATGAAGATGGCGACCAGGCTGACAGAGAGGCAGAGGACCCAGTAATCACTCACAGTGATGAAGATGTGGAGGGTGGAGAACACGGCGCACCAAATCACCAAATACAGGATCTGGTGAAGCGAGCAGAGAGAGTATGAACACTGATGGAAAAGTGGTAAGAGAGTGAAAAGAAAGCAGAGACACAGAGATAGAAGGATATGGGGAGTGTTAAATAATAACGTACCGGTGCAAATATAAAGTGAAAAAGCGCAGAGTGAAAAACCAAATATCTCCTGACAGGAGAAGCGTTCAGAGCTGTGTTCAGAGGAATCTCCATGTCTCTGACCGGAATCTAAGATCACAGACATAAAGCCTTAAGTTATATAAAAACTTATGATAAAGATATAAATCAATATTCAGTGCCACATTGTGGATGTGTTCGCTGACCTCGAAGCCATCATCCTCCAGTTTGGACCGACACAGTGAAAGATCAAAACTGGGGTTTAGGGTTGAAGAGGTCGGCACTGCAAGAACACACTGACCTGAGAGAGAGAGAGAGGGGGGGGGGGAGAGAGAGAGAGAGAGAGAGAGAGAGAGAATTAGAGGGAGAGAGAGAGAAAGAGAGAGAGAGAAAGAGAGAGGGAGAAAGAGAGAGGGAGAGAGAATTAGAGGGAGAGATAGAGAAAGAGAGAGAGAGAAAGAGAGAGAGAGAGAGTATGAATGTGTTTGTGTGAGAGAGAGAGAGAAAGAGAGGAGAGAGAGAGTATGAATGTGTGTGTGTGTGTGTGTGTGTGTGTGTGTGTGTGTGTGTGTGTGTGTGTGTGTGTGAGAGAGAGAGAGAGAGAGAGAGAGAGAGAAGAGAGAGAGAGAAAAAGCTGTAACCACTTCTACATCTTTTAAAATAGTTTCTGTGATTTTCAAAAAGAACTACAGAAATCGAGGAAAAAAAAGAGCAAAAAACTGTTGAACGTTTGTTGACATGTAAAACTGTGACAATGAAAAAGGAAGTAAAGTCAACACAAAAGCAGACTGGTCAAATATAAATAACTTCACATATCACTCTGACCTGAGGTCAGCCAGACTGTACAAGGTCGAGCTGCGCAGACAAACCACATCTTGAAATACACATTTAATCCTGATTTTTATATTACAGAGATTTGTTGTAAGCTCTATTGGGAGGAATGTCTATAAAATAAAACCAAATGTACTCAAAGTACTTGATAGGATGTGTGCAAGTATTCTCTGAGTCTTTGTTGGAGACATTTCACTTCCTGGAAACATCTTCCTTTTTTAACCAATGCTCCAATCTCAAAGCTGAAGAGGGAATAACTTAAATTAAGGAGTTAATTTATTTACATCTCAGAAGATCCTTTCCCATCCTGATTTTTTGTTTGCATTTTTGTGACCAAATAAATAAGAATATAGAAGTAGCCGTTACCATTGGACCATTTTGGATTGTTTTGCACATCCTCCTCATCCTCCTCCATCGCATGATCATCTCCGTTCTTCTCCTCCATCATCTCAGAAGTCACCACGTCCTACAGAGAAATCAATCATCTTTTATGTCCGAGAATAACAGAGAACACTTAGATAGCTAATGTTAAAGTCGGCTACAGACATTTCTTCTTATGAATCAACAAAAAATGGAATTGTATAAGTTCCTCCTGCTGATATCTGTCATCATCCTCAGAACGAGGAAACAAAGTCAGCATGAAAGCGGATCCATGTGACTGAAATTATGCATCACTCAGCATTATATTACAAACCACTGAATCATAAAAACATGACCAAAAGTCAGCAGTTTGAGAAGATGATTGATGAAGGAAACCGACAAATTAATTATAAGAGAAGGAATTATTTTAGTTTAAAAAAAGGCAGAATATACAATCATCATGTTTATTGATCTAGAAGTGTCAAATCTCAGTATGCCAGACGGTACTTAATAGAGAAGATTTGAAAAAGCTTATAAACTAATGGATAAACCGCTCAATGCTAGAAACAAAGTAATGGATTAAAAGTTAGTTAGTGCATTGGAAAAAGTTAGCTATTGGCTGTTAATAGATGTAAGCTAATGGATAAACAGTTAGCCAAAAGTATTCATACTATGCTTAAAGTAGGCTTATGGATAATCTACAGAAAATTAGCTAATTATAACAGTTGATATATCCTAGTAGTTATAACATAAACAAAAGGATAAAGAGTTGATGGCTGGCTAAAACCTGGCGAATGACTTAACTGTGAAACGGCTTACTTCGTATTAAAAGTAAGTTAGCTACAGGGATTGGGTAAACACTTATTACGTACTGTTAGCTTTTAAATTATGGGAAAAACTGTCTACAAGAGAATAGATGGCTTTACAGTGAGATAGCTTAGCTTGTTGTAATAGATAAATATTTTATATAAGCTTAAAGTCGTGAATAAACACTAAAATACTAATGCTAAAAGTTGGCTAATGGCTAGCTAGCTAGCATAGAATTTGTTTGAAAAAAGGTGAAGAAAAGAGGATGTTTATTAAACGCAGTAGATAAAAAGTTTAAAAAGTTAGTCAAAGTTAAAAATGTCTTTGTGATTTAAATAGTAAACTTTAAAGGCTTTATATGCGATTTTTTGATCCAGCAGATGTCGCCCTTGAGCTCCAGCATGAAACCAAAACAACTCGCGCTGCATTGTTGTGTTAGCATGCTAATGCTAGCGATCTTTATTATGCTGGTATCTTCACACTGCATGTAAATTTACCTGAAATGAGCGTGATCTAGAAACACAGTTAAGCAGTGAGTACAGTATGTTATTCTTCTTTTCTCTAGTCCCTCAATTAAACAACTTTTATACACGAGGGGAGGAGTCAGCCGGCCGTCCGGGCGATGTAAACAAAGTGAAGATAGGACTCTGAAAACTCTGAAAGTATCACAGACAGTGGGACTCGGGTGTTACACCCATTGTAGACAGTCATGACTCACAGAGTTATTTTCAGAGGAGATACTTAATTTATATTACATTTAAGTGTGAACAATCACATATAAAGCCTAAGTTGTGAATAAACACTAAAATACTATGCTAAAAGTTGCCTAATGGCTAGCTAGTGTAGAATTTGTTTGAAAAAAGGTAAAGACAAGAGGATGTTTATTAAATGCAGTAGGTAAAAAGTTTAAAAAGTTAGTCAGAGTTTAAAAAATGTCGTTGTGGTTTAAATAGTAAAAACTTATACAATGAAAGGGTAGATATAAGTACAGCTCCAATATATAACAAGTGTGACTACAGCAGTCTTAACCCTGATGAATCAGTTGTACATAAACATACTCACTTCACTTCTACATGGCGTGTTGTGTAACATCCACTGTTATAATCCATCCATGATGAATGGCACCAATGAAGAGAAGGCCTTTCACTGTTGTCCCGGTCATGTAAGGGTTTGCAGGCACATTCCTGATCTGATACAACAGTTAAACATGTCAGGCTTTAACTAGACGACTGGAATCTATTTCTGCACATCCTCTAGATAAGCCACAGCTTCTTTTTTTTTTTATCACTGATTACAATCCCTGATTATTTTTAAGTGACTATAGAAAGACGATAAGGCTCGACCAAACCAGAGCCTTCCTGCTCAGATGCTGAAGAAAAGAATAGCACCCTCCATGACATGTAAAAGGTATATGCATCAAGTTATTAAGTAACCAAAGGTGAAAAAGTGTGAGCAGCAAAACACACTTCATAAAAAACAATAATATATATATTTTTTTATTTGTAAATTTTATTTCATTCAAACAAACAATAAAGTTAAGAAAACAAACATAAAATCTCAACTTTTTAATGAAAAGGAGCAGAAAGAAGACTAATCTTATAATATCTGTCCCTCTTTCACAAAACATCAATTAAAACAAAACAAAACACTTAATTCAAAAACAATAAAAATAAAAATAAATTGGCTGCAGGCAAACACAGCCACTGGCATCCCCATCGTAGATCCTCCTTACCAATTCATTTTACACCGTACAAAGCATATCACAATACAGCATCACGAAACAGAACAGTACATCTCACTGACATATTTCCTAATTTTTCTTTTAAATATCATGTTTGATTTAGATTCTTTAGTTTCTCTGTTGAGATTGTTCCATAAGCTGATTCCTTTCACAGTAAAACAACAACAATAATAGAGTTATTAATCATGAAGGGAATCTTCCTTTCAGATTCTCGTTGTTGTAAAACATTTAGTATTGATTGTATCATTGGATATGTCCTTTCAAATGTGAGTTTACATATACACTGTACTGCTTGATGGAACAGTAGAGTACTGCATTATGTATGAATGTATGTAATAGACTTATCCTCATGCACTGGATTTCAGGGCTGTTGCCTTTTACTGTAATGAAAAAGAGCTGATCTCATCTGCTGTCAAAGATTATGACCCCCATAGTTAGAGGACCAAATGTATTTTTTTTTTTGTCTTTATAGCTGCTTATACTTAAAATGTCCAGAATGCTATTTGTTATCACAGCGGCGTATGCATGCTCTGTTCATGGAAGATAAGAGGCAACTTAAACCGATGCACTGCACCAGAACAGGGACCCTTCACAGACCACATCCTGTGATGTTTTTAACGGCTCTTGTGTCTGTGACATAATGAAAGGAAGGTGATAAAAATGAAATAAAAATAAATGCCGATTAGAGGCACAACCAGCTCTCTGTAGATGTCCTTCTACCCCCACTCTCTCGCCTGCCCGTCTGTGACGCTGCCACATTTCACCACTGAAGTGTGAAAACACTGCTGCAGCTGTAAAGTCAACTCTTTACCTCTTTCTCAGCCTCGCTCTTTTGGCTTTACTCCTCTCTGCTTTCATCTACTGTCTCATTCTCACTCCCTTGAATGTTAAGAAAGTCAAACTAACTCTGGGCAGAGTTATCATTTACTGCTAACTTTGCAGCTTTACACAAGAGGAGACCAAATCATAATATTGTTCACACAGCACAGGCAGAAATGGTACTTTTTGTTCAGTGTTGGAAAGAGGAAACAGCATGATTATTATCATGAGCGTGGTGAAAAACTGAACATACATTCTGTTATCTTAAAGCTTCATCTTATCTATTTTTAAACCCATGTGTGTTGAAAGTTACTTTCATATATTCAGCGGGTTGTGTCAGGTCGAAGAGCGATTCATATTCATAATTTTAAGTCAATTTTAAGTGTTCTGGGATGATTTTTCTCAAAAAGTTGGAAAGTTCAACGTTGCATCATTGTCATGTTTCTTCTTTTTAATTCTGCACTTTTTCTTTTTTTTGCTACTACATTTTTTTATTGTTTTTTCAACAGAAAAAACATCAACAACATAACATCAGAATGACTGCCAGACATTTAGACATGTTCAATTTTAGGTCATAACCTAAGTAGTGCAGTTCACAAGGGGTCTTTAAATAGCTTCTCATAATTGACATGATCAAATAAAATGAAGAATAAAATAAAAAATAAATCAGTGAAAGGGAGGCAAACGACATAAAGTTGTCAGAATGAGTGGGGCAAACCACCTAGCACCTTATCAATTGATCTGTCAAATATTGTCTCCATTTTGACCAAGTCCTTTCTTACTCTCAATAAGAAAGTCAGTCTTTCCATCTCATGAATCCCTTTCATAATTTCGAACCAGTTATCTACTGTGGGCGGATCAGTCTGTAACCATTTACGGGTGATCGCTTTTTTTGCTGCTACTGAAAATATTTTCAGAAGGTATCTATCACCTCCTTTTATTTTGTCAGGCAGATCACCCAAATAAAATGAGATAAAAGTTAATGGTAACAGTTGTCCAAGAATCTGCACATATACCTTTAAATGTTTGCTGTCACTCCTTGAAAACAAAACAAAACATCATCGAGCACGTCTTACCTGTATTTTAGATGAAAGTCCATCATGTCAACAAAAGTGTGATCATTATAATCCTCTGTCGTCTAGTATTTGTTTCCAGATGTCCACATGTATGGTGATAGATTGATTTAATGCAGAGCTGCTACTGCACCCTCAGACTGTGGCGTATGTTACTTTCACGCTCAGATGAGACTCAGCAGTTTCCCTCCTACTTCTCCTTCTCTTGGTTTCTCTCCTTACTTCTCTCTCTCTCTCTCTCTTGTTCTTTCTCTAAGCGTGTGACTCAGATCAGCCGGCCTCATGACTGCAGGAATGTGGTTGTTGGTTCTCAGCTCACACAACACTATGATTAGTTCAGCCAATTTTTTTTTAATACTGTGTGTATGCAGAGGCCAATTAAGAAAGCCTCAAGCCTTTATTAAAAGTGACACCTTTGATCTCAGTTGGATTTTTGTGAGTTTAAGTCTGGCTTCTCTTGAGGAAAATGTTTCATGATTAATGAAAATATATGCTAAAGTCCTCCGCATTTCTGTTTGTTTTCAGTGGCATTATGTCAAACTTTTCACAGAACTTTTCATTAACTCATGAAGTCTGAGGATATTTGTGGGGCAATGCAGGATTTAATTCAATGCAGCTAATTCACACGGTGATAACATAGGGAATAATAGTGGGGAATTTTAGGCATACAGCTGTTTAAACACATTATAAAGAGAAAGGTTAAACTAATAGTACATTAAAAATAAGAAGGTCGATTTGCCCTAAACAACATCAGGAAGATCAGACTTCACCTGTCAGAACATGCTCCTCTCTGCTTTCATCTACTGTCTCATTCTCACTCCCTTGAATGTTAAGAAAGTCAAACTAACTCTGAGCAGAGTTATCATTTACTGCTAACTTTGCAGCTTTACACAAGAGGAGACCAAATTATAATATTGTTCACACAGCACAGGCAGAAATTGTACTCTTTTTTCAGTGTTGGAAAGAGGAAACAGCATGATTATTATCATGAGCACGAGCATGCATTCTGTTATCTTAAAGCTGCATCTTATCTATTTTTAAACCCCTGTGTGTTGTGTTTAGGGTTCATGCCATAACCCTAAAACAAAAGCTTAAACAACAAAAACTGAGTTTGCACACTTGAAATGAAAAAACTGCTGATTTGCACTAACATTTCAGAGTATGTTTTAACTTCAGGAGGTAAATGCCATTTCTTTTTTACTGCTTTGTCAACAGATAAACTGAAAAGTTTTTAATGATAAATTAATTGAATAATACTCATTATTATAAAAACTCCAATAACTGAATGAAAATCAAAGTATAAACCATATAGCTGAAAGTGCTATTCAAAACTCTGTATTTTGCAATCTTGTTTTATGATTTAACTATGGCCTACAGGATTTCACAATTACACACTTTAACGGTGGCAGTATGTTCTGTTTTTTTTTTTTTAAGAAAAGCCTGCCCCCTAGTGGATACAATAACTTAGTGGAATGAATAAATGATATTGAGCTGCAGAGATAAATAAAGAAATTTACTGGAAAAGTATATTCATGAAGGGAAATTGATAACATGCAGTCTTATTACCATCTGTCTGCTTGCAGCATTTATCTATGACTACACATTTATTTAACAATATTGTGAAAAATGACATCAAGATCTACCACCTCATAGTAGAAATATGTGCAACAATTCTTATGAAAACAACAAATCTACTCAGGATATGGTAGGATACTTGATGAATATGTAGGCTATATCCATAAAAACATTTTTTTTTTTTTTTTTACAAAAATGCATCAACCAAAAAGTTTACATCACTGGGAAGCTGTGTGAGCTCAGTTATTTAAAGAAGACGCTGTCACCTGTAAGTGTGAATTAAATTCAGAAGGTAGTTCTGTGAAGTCCCATGTCTATTGTCCAATCAGATCGCTTGGTTTCCATTTCATCCACTTGTCATAAAATATAAACTAATAATAAATAGCAACTATTCTGACGATATAATTTAAAATAATAATAACACCCTGAGAGAAAAGTACGACGGTGGATTAGGGCCATGTTAATTTTTTTTTACGACTTTATTCTCGTTAATTTACGACGTTATTCTCGTAAATTTACGACTTTATTCTCGTAAATTTACGACTTTATTCTCGTTAATTTATGACTTTATTCTCGTTAATTTACGACTTTATTCTCGTAAATTTACGACTTTAATCTCGTTAATTTACGACTTTATTCTCGTAAATTTACGACTTTATTCTTGTTAATTTACGACTTTATTCTCGAATTTTTTATTTTTTTTAACGTGGCCCTAATCCTCCGTCGTATAAAAGCTAGGACATTATTATCAAAATATTGTTGTTTTATTACAAGACATATTTTAATCTTTATTCAGCTCATAGACTAATCGATATGTAACTTTTATTTTGGTGGGTACAGTAGTCATGTGACCGCCCTCTCAGGTCATATGACCCACACAGTGAGTCACTGAGCAGTTTGCACATCTCCGTGTAGATGAGCTGAGGACAACGCTTCCGGGTTTCTCTCTTTTGTTTCATTTGAAGATTCATTTTTATAAAGACGACTTCTCGTCAAACCTTTTGATCAGCTGCTCTGACATGGAGACAAGAAGCCGGCTCGCTGCTCTGTCGCTGCTTCTCTCCGCAGTGTTTTCCTCCTGTGTCCTTTTGATAAACCCCAAAGAGGTACAGTAACTAAAACTATCCAACAGAAGCCTCACGACAACATACAGCAGCGCTGCTTTGAGTGCACATCAGGCTTAAGTTTAAAAAGTGTTTCAGTAGAGAGGTGGTAAAAGTGTTAACAGAGCTTCATTTAAACTGAACTTTTTATTTTTATTTTCGTTTTAGCTCAACACAGCTTTTTAAAAATGTGTTTTTATTTATTCTGTGCAAACCACATCATAATTATTTATAAGAGATAATAAGTGTGTAGACTTGTTTTGAGATTTTCTTATAATAAAATAAAACTCTGATTAAAAGAATTGATTCCCAATGTGGTGATCACATGCTCGTCTTACCTGTCAGCTGATTCAGGTAAACCTGCCAGAACTGGTTTATGACCCTGTCTACATCTGCTTGTCTCTGTGTGTGTGTTTGTGTGTGTTTGTGCAGATTGATCCGCTGCTGTATGAGGAGCAGCTGCTGTGGGTGAGCGGGGCTCAGGGGGAGGTCAGCGCCTTCAGGATCCCACTGCTCAGCTTCACCCCTAACGGAAGCCTGCTGGCCTTCACAGAGGGCAGGAAGTCCTCGTCCAGCGATTATGGAGCGAAGTTCATCGCGATGCGGCGGTCCACAGACAAAGGTAGGACCACCGGAACACGACCACCCAGTCAGATACACACATGATGACACACCGGCTGTAAACAAATTCAGTACTCCACAATCACATCACCTAACCACAGTTTGCTGATCATAATTGTTTTTTATATTTTTATAAAGTTACTTATTTTCTGGAGCTCTCAGCTTCATCTTCAGGCCCTCATGAGGGGTTGGAGTTTACTCACAGAGGAAGAGCATGTTGTGAAAAATGTCTTCAACCATCGTGCTCTTAACAAAGTCAAGACTGAACCGCTGAAACGGGCTCTGAGCTGAGAGACAGGAAACATTTGTGCAAGACTACAGAGGAACTACACTGACTTGAAAATCTCCTTATTTCAGTTTTTTTCATTTCTCAATCATCCTTTTAATTTGCTAAACAGTGAGGGCAAATACTCACAACAACACTCGTAAAAAAAAAAGCCCATAACTTGCTTTAAATCCTCAGTTCATCTCATAATAAGGAAATGAAAATGTCAGTGAGCAGGTTAGTTATTTTTAGAGAAGTAAGAAATAATGTCGTCTGTGTGGGCCACTAAAAAGCAGGACTGGCGGTTCTGGAGGTAACTAAAGGGTTAACTCTGGGTTCTCAGTCAGCCTGCTACAAAAGTGGATCACTTCTTACCGGGGTGAACTTAACCACGGTACCTCACGCTGAACACCTGACCTGCTCCGGAGCGGGTTCTGGATGTTTTACTGGCTCCACATCGATCTGTTTGTTACCGTCAGGCTGCAGAGAGAAATTTAAAATAACTGTCATCTGAGAATAAAATGGATTTAAGGAAACAACGAGGAGTTATTATAGTCATTTCTTACATGTACTAAACATGGGAAAGAGTTATGATCAACCTTTTATTTGTGCTTTGACTTTGATATGTCAAGACAACAAAATTCAATGGAAAAAAAACAAAACTTTCTTCTGCACCAGAGTATCAAATCCTGTACTAATGTGCAAAAACATTCACATTTCAGTGTCATCACTGTACGGTTATTACAAGAGTGGGCGTCTGCATTGTCTGACACAAATGTTTACATCATCAGATATACTGTGTGATGACAGAAACTCTACTATGAGACATATGCAGGCATTATTAACATGAAAGAAATTGATTGACCTAACAGGAGGATGCTCAATATGCATCAGAAGACCGAGTTTAGAGAAGCCCTGATGTGAGATGTGGTGGTCTGCACGCATGGTGCACAGGTGTTTTTATCGTCTCCTCCGTCCCTGCAGGTTCCACCTGGTCCCCCACCACCTTCATCGTGGACGACGGCATGACGCCGGACGGCCTGAACCTGGGCTCGGTGGTGGTGGACGAGGAGGTGGGCTCGGTGATCCTGGTCTACTCCATCTGCTTCCACCTGTACCACTGCCACCCGGCCAGCACCATGATGGTGGAGAGCAGGGACGACGGCCTCAGCTGGGGCCCGCCCAGAAACCTCTCCGTCCAGCTCGGCGTCAAGAACTTCGCTCCCGGGCCGGGCTTTGGAATCCAGGTGAGAGGACGAGGAAAAAACAAACTGAATCATGGGAAGTCTTGAGCTGTTCTGTGGTTGGAGAGGGAGATTTCATTTGGGCTGAATGACTTTTAATGCCTTGTGGAAGTCAAATTGGGAGTGTTGTAGTCAAGACCACACTAACCGAGACCAAGACATGCCCGAGACCAGAACACTGCGAGACCAAGACCGAGACATTTAGGGATCGAGACCGAGTAAAGACTAAAGCAGGGCGAGACTGAGACAAGACCAGGACCATAAATATCAAAGAAAAATCTTCATCTTGTGCTGCAGGCGGGTCACTAACTTAGACCGTAACACTCGGAAGTTTCTGGATGTAACCAGGGGGGAAAAAATCAAAGTATTTATGAATTGAAGTAATTTGTCCTTTAACAAAGAGGTGTTTTCGGGGCGCTGGTGGCGCAGTGGTTTGTGTACGCGCCCCATGTATGGAGGCTGTAGTCTTCCAAGCAGTCGGCCCAGGTTCAAATCCCACCTGAGGCTCCTTTCCTGCAGGTCATTCCCCACTCTCTCTCTCCCTCATTTCCAACTCTATCCACTGTCCTATCTCTCAAATAGACGCACAAAAAGCCCTAAAATAAAATAAAATAAAATATAAAGAAAGAAAAAAAAGAAAGAGGTGTTTTCCTTCTAATCAAAGTAATGATGTGGAAAAATAAAACTATCAATAGAGGTCTTGACCAGTCTTGATTTAAAATCCGGAGTCCCCCAAGACCGAGTAAAAATGCTTTCGATTCCGAGACGAGGCGTTCAAAAAGTGGTCTCCAGACCAAGACCGATTTCCAGTACGACAACACTACAAATCTACCAGTTTGAATAAGATAGCTGCAGGTAAGTTTTTTAAACACCTGTTCTGATTTGAGGTGTTAAATTGAGACTTTATACTTGAAGTAAAATCACGTCAGGAAAAACCTCCGCTAGTGTAAACTTAGATTTTATTTTATAAACTTTTACAACAGAGAAAAGTCAATTATTTATACTCCAGTTAGAATTATACATTATTCAGTGTTCAAACTGGCTGAGCTTTAATTATAATGCAGATGAATTTTTCTGTATTTAAATGAAAGAGGAAGTTTTGAGGGACATTTTCTTTAAAGAAGTGAAATTCTCTGTGTCTGTGAAACTGGGGATATTATCTGATCTGTTCCTCTTGTAATGTCTGTATAAAAGTGGTTTATTCTTTGGGTTGTGACTCAATGCTATGTTCAACCTGTACAATATAATAATGCCATGTTTCTATAGTAGCAAGCTCAACAATGTTTGTATTAATCCCATTTATTCTCCAAAATGAGAGCGCTGGTTAAGATTAGATTTCCCAGATTTGGGCTTTTTGTAAGCCTGCATGTTAGCTGCATTAAAAGCTGACTGTGTGGGATTTGATAGCTTTGTAAAAGAGTCAACAGATTCATTATGTCATTTGAGGAGACTTGTGTAATTGTGTAAATGAGTGGCTTGTGATTCCTCATGCTCAGTCTGAGCCGAGCATCTGTCCAGTTATTGTTTTTGCCCATGCCACTTTTTATGACACTAAACCTTCTGTTGTCCCGCAGCAGATCAGTCACTCTGGATAATAAATATGGTTCATATTATGATATATTAGTGGGATGAATAACCTTCCTGTGTCATACATCTCTTTGTTTCTCATCGATTGCAGCAACCTCCTTTTTTATTTATTTTTGCTCACATTTGCATAAACTAGTCTCTGTTTGCATCATTTCCTCATTGTGTGTGTGTGTGTGTGTGTGTGTGTGTGTGTGTGTGTGTGTGTGTGTGTGTGTGTCTACATCTTCGTTTAACAGAAGCACTTCCAGCCAGCTAAGGGGAGGTTAGTGGTGTGTGGTCACGGGACGCTGGAGGGAGACGGAGTGTTCTGCATCCTGAGCGATGACCACGGGAAGAAATGGTACAACGGTGCCGCGCTGAAAAGCATTCCTTACAACCAGAAGAAGAAAGCGCAGGACTTCAACCCTGACGAGTGCCAGGTACAAGAACATCTGCTTGTTTGTGAAAATCACACATATGACTGTAGCTTGAATACCAGACGGTGATACAATGAAATATTTTTAAAGAAAATGGTTAGAACTTCTTACAAAAGCGACAGTCTAAATTCTCAATATTAAAGTACTGACTTGTCTCTCTCAGTGATCCAGTGTTGTGCTCACATGTCTACAACCTGATGGTTGTAGACATGTGAGACATCAGTGACTGAGAAGCTAAATGATCTCTCTTCCTTCTTTTTGATGTCCTTACACTATAGATGTGTCATTTCCTTTTTTTCAAATTGGAGATATTTTAACAGCAAATTCATCACCCTCTGAAACGTGTTTCCTCAAAGACTCACATTTCTGACTGAGAATTATCACCCAGCTCTGCAGCTCTATTAACCCTTGAAGCCTCTATGTTCAGTGTTAGATCTCTATTGACCTGTAGAGTCAGCAGGTTTTGTTTCTACAAATTAAAGGCTTTATATGTGATTTGCTAGCGATCTTTATTATGCTGGTATCTTCACACTGCATGTACATTTACCTGAAATGAGCGTGATCTAGAAACACAGTTAAGCAGTGAGTACAGTATGTTATTCTTCTTTTCTCTAGTCCCTCAATTAAACAACTTTTATACACGAGGGGAGGAGTCAGCCGGCCGTCCGGGCGATGTAAACAAACTGAAGATAGGACTCTGAAAACATCACAGACAGTGGGACTCGGGTGTTACACCCATTGTAGACAGTCATGACTCACAGAGTTATTTTCAGAGGATAAACTTGATTTATATTATATTTAAGAGTGAAAAATCACATATAGACTTTAATAGAAGAAGACAAAAGTCTGCTCCTATGAAGAGTTTTTTAGCTGGTAATGAAACTGAAATGAATAATGATGCCTCCTATATGACAAAAAAGACCAACAGTGAAAATACAGTTGAGTCATTTTAACGCTAGTAACCACAGTGTAGGTGTCAAAGTGAGATCCAGCACAGCAAAGATTCACAGTGAGTGAAATGTTTGAGCGTCAAAAACATCAAATGTGTTCTTTTAGTTTACAGGAAGAGAATCTCCTAATGCATGCTAGTGTTGTATTGTATCCTCAGAATGTGTGAATGGGTAATCACTATAGTGTGGTCTGTCTGCTTTTTATGGAGGTCACTGCCCCCTAGTGGAAAAAAATCAATATAAATGTGTATTTTTAAACACTGAATTTACCTGAACTGTTGTCATGCTTTTGCTGCAATAATAGCAATGTGTCATAATATTAAAAACATTTTCAATTGCTGAGCATTAGTAAAGTACAGCCCCCCCCCCCACCCCCCCCCCCTCTGTGCCCCCCTGCAGCCGGTCGAGATGACAGACGGCAGCATTGTCATCAATGTGCGGAACCAGAACAACTATCACTGTCAGTGTCGTCTGGTGGTCCGCAGCCTCGATGGAGGATTGTCTCTTCCTGTAGAAGAGCTCTACTTCGACTACACGCTGGTGGATCCCGCTGTAGCGGCCGGAGCTCTGCAGAAAGACGGCGTGCTCTACTTCACCAACCCCGCCAACAAGCAACACAGTAAGACCAGCAAAACATTAAGAGTCGATATGTATCTCCTTCACTGCACATTTCTCTCATGGATGCTGAGTACTGGAAGTAAAAGTTAGTTTGAGAAGTGTGTTAATCTTTGTTTCACACTCACAGTAATCGAAATGCATCGGTCTCAGGATCTTAAGATTATTACTTTGTTGGACCTGGATAACTATGTTGGTTTTCATAATGATCATGTATTTCGTTATCTCAAGAAAACAAAAGACAGACGGTGTCTACTGTGCTCAGTGTTGCCATGGCACTACTTATCTATGATGAAATTTAAAAGTACCAAGTTAAAAACGGTATTTAGTTTTATGTGATACCGGGTTGATTGTCTGGAGATTACAAAGCTTGTTTCCTCCAGATAAGAAAACAATTAACCTGATGATCATGAGAACAGAATTGAACTAATAATTTCAAGCCAACAATTCTTAGCCTTGTTCTTTGTTATATCCAGCTTCATGTACTTCACTTTAGTCTCACTGGAATATTTCTTCATGTTTGAAATATTTGTCTGGTCCAGCTCTTTGACCTCCTCCAGTCTTGATGGCTCTGCTGCTTGTTGAATCACATCAAAGTCCCTTCACATGCAATTTGACATTTTCTGTTTTTTTTATTTATTCATTTTTAGTCAAAATCTTTTTAATAAAATAAAATAAAATAAAAAGCGTATATGAAGCGCAGTGCTAATCAGTCACTGATTTTAGAGGATGTTATAAATAAACACCAAATGTAGTTAACAGTAACAACTACATAGGAAGAGTAAGAGACACGCACAAAAATAAAGCTATTAACTGCACATGGTAAATAAGTAAAGCCTGGACCTACAACAACAGCCTGCGTTACCGTCTTACTTTTTGGGTTAATGAAAATAACAATGTAAACAAAAACAATAAACAAAATATCGTTGTTTTTTTGTTTTTTTAATTTGTCTTAGTTTAGTGGTCAACAACTCCTTTTTTAAATCTTTTTATGGATTTGTTTAAAACATCCTGTGTTTGGTTTATCATTTTGCTGCTACAACAAGTTTAGACTTCCAGGGATCAATAGAGGTTTATCTTTTCATTATATATTACTGTTACAGTAACAGGTACCTGAACGCTGTAGAGGATAGCTGATACTGTCAGCTGCTTGCTTTGGGGATAAAAATGTAATTATGTATTAACTGAAGTAATTTGTTCTTTTAGAAAGGGGCGTTTTCCTTCTAATCACAGTAATGATGTGGGAAAATAACCTATCAATAGAGGTCTTGACTGGTTTTTTTGGGACAGATAATGCAGAAAAAAAGAGGGTTTGGGTGAATGTAAATTGTTGATGTCATGTTGTGTGTCTAGCAGATACTCCATAGTCTCTGACCCCAAGAGTTTACAATCCTCTTGCCTCTGTTAGCAGTGCAAAGTGCATGTTGCAGAGCATCACAGCTGATCTAAAGAGGGTCAGCGCACACACACACAAAAAAAAGAACACATTCCAAATACAGTTATGTTTCAGCAAATCATCTTTCTGAAAAGATTTGCTTATTATCATTGGTTCAAAATAGTTTCATAATCCATTCAGGTGTATTTTCATTTCAGCCACCATATCTGCAGTCTGTATATCTGTCCACCACTGCACATGAGTAAAGGTCAGTAAAAAAGGATTTGAACATCATGTCATGTCTGCCCTCAGGAGTCAACCTGACTCTCCGCTGGTCTGTGACGGATGGTAAAACATGGGATGATAAAGCTGTGCAGATATGGGCGGGGCCAAGCGGTTACTCTTGCATCACATCACTGGACAGCGGTTCTGCAGAGGACCGGAAGTTCATCTATGTTATCTACGAGAAGGGACACAAGGACTATGTTGAGACTGTGTCGTTCGCAAAGATCCACCTGTTTGGAGGGCAGTAGAGCTGGTGGATCATGGGAGGTGAGCAGACGTCGAAGCATGCCAGGCTGATTTGTCTAAACAGACTCAGTACAAGAACTACCTGACAATGAAACCTTGTGTTTTAATTTCATCTTAGGTTTGTCTCCCAGATTCAGCTGAGTGGACGGAAAAGGGAAATGGAAAGATGCTCACTACTCCCACAACTTTCTCAGGAAGATAAAAGACTTTTAATCACTTTATCACATTGAACCAGGAATGTCAAATGTCAATGTTTGTGATCTGAAAAACTCAAAAGTTCTCCTTAATTAAATCACTGTCTTCCTACAGGTGATTGAATTGCAAATATCATGTCTGTGTTTTTGCCCTAATTGGTTAATAAGATGTGTTTGTCACACTCCCTGTTGGTAAGCAAAAAAAAAAAAATGTAAATCATTCTTTTGTGTAAATATCTGAAGTGTAAACATCTTTAAAGTGTAAATCAACATATATTTTGTACAGAATAATGAGAATACTGCATCGTCTCAAAATCACAGCCCAATGTCTTTCAGTGGTTTTCTGGAGGTCTGCAGTGTTTCCCCTACCATTATATTAGGGGGGTGGCCCGGCCCACCTTGAAGGTCAAGTTAATACAAATTATTTAATTTTTTTTAATTTTTTGCTTTTCATTTTATTTTTTAAAATGTTTTAATTTAAATTTTACATTTTCAGATTCATTTTTGGGCTGTTTGTGCCTTTATTGTAGAGAGAGGATAGATGGATAGAGTCTGAAATCAGGGAGAGAAGTCATTTAAGGATACCTTTCCAATAGAACAGGACAGCTGTCATTAAAAGTAACACATGAACACCAAGATTCCTTCAAGTGTTTGTGTCTGCGTCCGTCTGCCCCCCCCCCATCTGACACTAATTCACCTCACATATAGGTGGATTCACTGTATTCTTGGCGTTGGTGGGAACATGGATCTAATTGGTTTAATTGAAAAGCTCTTTTCTGAAAATTAAACTCTCAAATATGATCTGTGCTTGGAATTTTAACGAGGACTTTTTTGTTGCCTTCATTAAGATCTGAATGTGCCAAGAATACATGCTGATTGTAAGGTCAGCTCCGCCTCTGTAAATGCAGAACGAGTTATAATTTAAGATCTTTTAGAAATTTAAGAAATGTGTGTGTGTGTGTGTGTGTGTGTGTGTGCGTGCGCGCGTGATTAAATGCAAGAGGGGATAGGGTGAGGATATTATGTGACCAAGGTTTCCTTTCTTTTGATGTTTTGTAATCTGAACTCAGCCCAGCATTGTACATGAGTAAACAATGCTTTGATGAAGGAACCTATTTGATCTGTGCAACCTGAAGAATAATAAATGATTTCTAACATTAATATGTTTCCTTTTATTTGTTCTGAGCACAGCTGATCTGTTTTGCAGTGTCATTTCTTGAATAAAGGGGGAGAGCAAAAAAAATATATTTTCCTTTTGGAGAATGACATGAATGCAGCATATGAAGGTGTTTTTAATTTGATGTGGAAGGACATTTTCTCATTTGAAAGTTATATCTCTAATATAACTTTATAAATGCATGCTGGAGGTTTTTCCAGGTGAGAGACTGTATGCGCCTCCGTACCTGTAAAACATGATATGCTCATCGATCTAGAAGAAACAGATGTTAGAATATTTAAGACTTTTTTTTAAAGGAAAGATTTATTTTTTTAAAGTTAAGCTTTAGCTTTTTCCAAAGGGGCTTTGCTCCTCAGTGAAGTAAATAATTGCCTTGATCATCAGCAGATAAAGGGGATTGTACCACATTGGGGATGGAGCTAAAGATTTTGAAATGATTGATTACTTTTGTAAACTATTTTCGATTGGTTATTGTAGGCCTATACATAAATTCATAAAGTAGTGCAAAGTGTGCATCTTGTTCTTGAAGCCTGAAGTGATGCAATCAAATGTCTTCTGCCAGCCCATTTACTCAACTTACTATCATAGGAGTTTAAAAAAAAAACATCACATCACATCATGCAATTGTATGTTTTTTTTTAAAGGCTAAAATGGACTTAAAATAACTCTGGAACAATTCAATCGTGACAGTTAATTCAAATTCAAATCCAAAAAATCTTTATTTGTCCCTGGGTGGTAATTCAAAGGCACACAGAGCAGTAAATTAACAACAGTGCAAGTAGACGAAACATTTTAACCTAAATATAAAGTGTCAATTTAGATACAACTTAAAAATATAAAATATAAAGGAGTAGATATAAGTGGACAGTGATCGGACTAACAGATGTAAACAGATGTAAACAGAACTATGTGCAGTAAACGAGAAATAAATATACATATATACAGAGTGTATATACATGTGCAGGTAGGCAAATACTAAATGATAAGTTATTAAGGTGCATGGTGAATAATGGAACAACAGAACTAATATATACAATATAACTGTAAAGGTAAAAATGAGATAAATAAAGTGACCGTAGTGTAATGATGGATAAATAGTTAATTGATTAATCGACTTATCCTGCACCTTTAAACCAGGTGTGTGACCTGAAATGCTCTCAATGCTTCTCCTTTTATCGGTGCATTTCTCTGCATCCTTTGAGTTTCTTTTCACTTGCAGAAATATAAATTGTGGTATCTCATCTTTAAAATGCTTATCCTAAACTCAGTCATTTTAAGGTCGATTAATCAACTCTACTAACTTACATCAATAAATAATCTCTGAACGTGTTCATTTTCTGCTGAACAGTTCTTTTCTGTTTTTTTTAGTATTTTGCATTTGTTTGTTCTTCTGTGTTTGGTTTAGTTTGCACTTTGTAAACCTGTGTTTTTAAAAGGTGCTTTATAAATAAAGTTGTTATTATTATTAACGGTTATTAAAAACTGCATTTGACCAGCGTTATTTAAATAAAAACCAGAGTCGCATGTTGTTGCCGTTAAGGTCCCAAACGGCTTCCATCTCACGGACTCAGCCAGAAGCCGCTGACGGCTCTTCAGGTGACGGATCGAATCCCGAGCGACTCTTTTCTCTTTCTCCCTTTTTCATTTGTTTTTTTTTTTTACGGGGAAAAAAAAAGAAAGAAAACGAGTGCAAGTAAGCAGAATCTCATCATTATATGTAACACTCGTTGCTCAACTTACTCGCAAAGACCTGTTGTTGTGCGTGTGTGTGTGTGTTTGGAGGGATAACGTTGGTTTTTTAGCTGGCTGGGTCACTTTGCTAAGAAAGCTAACGCGTTAGCATCAAGCTAACCTCATTCTGCGATACCACCTCGAGACAAGTCGGGACAAGACCAGGTCAGTGGCCGCGAAATGTTTCGTGTTTCATTCACACGCCGACTTTAAACCTCCAGTGTTGACGGAAAATTACTATAACAATCGGATAGAGAAAATGCTTCCCTAAGGAGGATGTTTTATGGATGTTTATTGTGTTTTTTGTGCGTGTTAAAGCGAAGCGACTTGGTTGTTGTTGCTAGCCAGCTAGCTCGGTAGCTTGTGTTCGCTAGCGGGTTAGTCACCGTCTTAAATGATAAAGTGTTGTCTGAATAACTGCAATTAAATTAATTTCCTCTAGATTTTTGGACAACACGCACGCTTGTTTTTTAAGCATTTATAACAGTTTGGTTGTGAATGATGTACTAGACGGTGACAGAGGATAAACGTTAGCACAGGATGTTCGCCTGCAGTAAACCGAACGAGTCCATTAGTTTTACACTACATCCGGGTATGTAGGGTTATTCCATACATTACTTTAAAACTGATTTATCACATTTTCTGTTTGTTTACACGTTTGCAGGGTGATTGGTTTCTTAACAGTTTGATACCCTACCCGGTCTATGTTAACGTTTACATGCATGGGGCCTGCATCCACCGCCATTTTGTTTTGTTCTCCTAATAAAAAACCTTTTTTTATTTTTTTAAATATGTGCGTTGCTCTGTGCAGACTTTGGATTTATGTGCAGCATCGTGTGATGGAAAACCCCCCCCACAAGTGTGTGTTTAAAACGAAGCACCCTGCAGAGTAAAAGAGCAGTAAGATAATGTTACTGCAAAGGTGTTGAAAATGCATTATGAAACATGAACGCAGTCCCCCTCCCATCGCGAACACTGGGCCCTGTGTTAGCCTGTTAGCACCAGTTAGCTCTGCATTACACATATTTATGTGTCGGAATTTTGTAGTTAAAGCATCAGATTGGAGTTGTTGTTTGCACTGCCATAGCTGCCTAATGATATCACCATTAGACAGCCACTTAACTACACACTAGTTATCGTTAGCTTTAGCTCCACAAGGCCTCTTTGTGGTGTACCTTGCTGCAGTTTGAGTTTGGCTGGCCCCTCTTAATCCCCACACACAACATGCAGTTGACCAGCCATCCCACGACCTAATTTTCTAATCTCATCTGGCTGCAGAGACACGGTGCAGCACTGCAGCTCGGGATTCAATCCGTGTACATGTTTGCTGCAGGTTCAGGGTCTTGTATTTATTTACTTTCTTCACAGTCATGTGTTGTGTAGATGATCAGAAGCTTGATCTGTGTGCGTGGAAGTAAGAAGGTCGTTTGTTGCATTGTTTTGATTAAGGTGTCACTTTCACTCCTGTTTTGAAACTGTAAGGCATTTATCAAAACATTGTGTTGTTCATCATCATGCTCAGGGATGGTCACAGCAAGGGGCCACATTCATTTAATTCTCACTGCCAGGGGGCCAAATTGTAGGATACAAAAACGATTACAGTCAAATTTAATTCAACATATACCAGTGATTAAATATTATTATGGACATATTTCTGTTTTTCATGAATTCATGGCAGATTTTGTTAAGTTTTCTTCATGTTTCCAATTAATTGATATCAAAAAATTGACCTGAGAGCCACGTTGAGGGTTGGTGGGGACTGCATGTGGCCCCCCGGGCCGCCAAATGCCCACCCTGATCATACTGATGGCACCTGCCTTGTTGCATTTAAGTTGACTTGTTATTCAGGTCTACTAGACTCGTAAAGCTGTCATGACTTGAGTTTCAAGTAACTCCACCTTTCAGTTTTTTTTAATTATACACCTAGGGCTGGGCGTTGTGGACCAAAACTCATATCTTAATATTGTTTAGCTGAATGGCGATACTTGATATATATGGATATGTATTTTATTAACAGTGAAAACACACAAATAAACTACCTGTTTGTGAATTTAAAAAGTAATATTATAAAATAAAAATGTTCCTTAAATACAATAAAAGAGAGAGAGAGGAGGAGCAGGGTGAAGAGGGACAGACAGTCAGTCATCATCAGTGAGATGAGAAAAAGGTGACCTGGCACCTCTGTAACGTTATTTTAATGCAACGTAAACTATATCGATATTGTCTTACCCTATATCTTATTTGAAAATATATCGATATATCTTAAAAACTCGATATTGCCCAGGCCTATATACACCTATAGC